TGGCAAGCCTTCCGGTTCCGGCTTACTTGCAGGATGCATGCATGTCGGCATGCACACCGATAAATCGGTGTGCCACACCTCGCTTGGAAATACGAGGTCGCCGACGCACAACTAATTCCCTCACACCCACTTACGTGCGGCGAGGTAATTTTTCGCATCACACCACCAGCGATTTTACGACTTTATTGCGTACCTCGCGACGAGCGCTCAGGGTCAAACCCACGCCCTCGCCTTCCACACCCGATGGACTTTCATCCACCATCATCTACGGGGAAAGGTATAAGTATCACCCTTCTCCCCCCGTCCTGACGAGTTGATCATAGGTCAACGAAACAAACGATCAATCTACTTTGATTATTGTCGACACTTGTTTCACGATTACAACAACTCTCACGTCCTCTTCCCATCAGCACAGCTGTCCGCCCAGCGAGAGAAGCCTCGCTCGCTTCGCTCGCTCGGCCCATCCGGATATTTGTCAGAATCTTTACAGGACGGCTACGCATTGACCCGGCATCTTCTAATCACATGCTAGAAGCCGAAGGCCCACCCTTGATGCCCATCACCTATGAAGCCTGGCCTGGCCGGACCGAATATCAGCCGGCTATCTGCAGGCCGGCCTGTCTTCCTGTGAATACTGGCTATGCTTCGATGGAGAAGATTCTGACGAGAATTTTAACAAATCCTCAGTTGACTCCTTCCAAAGCCATTAGATAAAGAACATTATTAGTTTGAACTCCATAGAGCTATCCCTACGTGAAAAGGGCCAGGTTCGTGCTACCAGGACTGTGTATTCAAACATTAGTGCTGTAGAATGTCACCCCATCATGGCTCTGCAATTTGATCGGATCTGGAACCCTTATCAGTAGGAGGGAGTCACGATTGTCTACTGCGGGTATGGAGGTGGAAGGATCGGAATGGCCATTAGTGTGATTCACACTTCAAAGGTCAAATTCTGAGTAACCTTGATTATAGGGCAAATGGTATGTAGTGCCCCAGCTAGACTGAGGCATTAGATACATTGGGTGAGAGAACACATGGGCTAGCATCCATTCCAAATTATACCTATCATTGTTTATGCTGACCCTCCCATAGTGATGAACCCAGCTGTGGCCCAGTTGACACCCCCGCCATTCAACCCTGACTATATACGGAACCCGAAAAAACGAAGTCATAGAGCATACAGGGGTGTATTTATGCCATGATCGAGGGGAGCTGGAATATTGGTGAGATGCGTCAGCATGCTGGAGAGAGATATGATCAATGCGTTTTGCAAACATTGCACAACTGAGAAGGGGCTAGAAGAAGACAGCCTGTATGGCTAATGGCAAATGAAATTGTGGTGGTATTTAGTCTGCCGGGTGTGTAACCTTTTATCGCATATTGCGCCAATTCACCTCTTACTGCCAAGCATTGTTGTGTACGAGCCGAGCTGACTCGAACCTACAGAGGTATAGCACCTAAGTTGTGTATATTTCACTAGCAGGGGGGTGATCGGCTAGCAGGGGAGGAGGAGTAAATGAGGCATAGTAGCATATGTGAGTGTGGCTAGGAAATCTGAAAGATACTGTCAATGGTAATCTGAATGGTAGTCTGAACTGACGCAGTATGAAAAAGTATTTTGAAGTAACAGACATATATCTAATATTTTGTAAAAAGCCCATTTGCATCAATAACTGCTTGACATCTAGCTGGCATGTTTTCTACTAGCTCCCTAAACTCATATAGTCCAACATTTGTCCAAGATTTCTTCACTGCCTCCCTTAATCTATCATAGCTCATATTTTCTGGAAAACTATCTTGTAGATAATTTTTCATAATATGCCATACCCTCTCAATTGGATTCAAGTCTGGAGAGAAAGCAGGCTAATGAATAACCTCAATACCTCATTCTCTTAGCTCAGTTCTTGTATCTCCTGCTGCATGTTCAGGTGCACCATCCTGCATCAGCTTTAAAAAAACCTTATTCCTTCTACACAATTCAAGATACCCATGGATAATAGGTACTGTATGTGTACAATAGCTCTCTGAATTTATTGAGCCCCAATCCTTCTCCCAAAAAATTTCCAGGACCTTGAATATCCCCATTGAAATAGCCCCAAAACATCCATCCTCTTTTCCTTTGATGCTTCTCCATAATACAGGTAGGATTCCACTCCTCACTAGCTCTCCTAGTCACCCAGGTTCTGGTATGCCTCTCACCAGTAATCCATGTTTCATCTGTCCACAGGATTGAGTTCTACTACTCCTGTGTCCAATCAACATGTTGCCGAGCCCACTCAAGTCTTATTACTCGATTGCATTTGGTAATTAAGGGTTTTCTCATCGCTAGTCATCAGTGAAAGCCCTCCTTTCTTAAGGCTGCATGAAACACTTTTTTCCCAACTCCTAAATCCAACTCTATCGAGCTTTAGTTAGCTATCCACTATTTTTTCAACATTAAAGATTTTTTCTTTTTTTCTTACCTTCAGCTAGTTGCTGAAAAGGAAGTCTCCTATTACGTGATGACATGTACACATATGCAATAAGGTCTTCAGTTTGTGCCCGAGTTAAGACTGGAGGATGGCTGGGCTTCTTGATAGGAGTTGGCGGAGAGGTATACGCATATTGGACTTGGTGCCACAAAAACCCTGTCTTTTCTTGAATTTGTCCATATTTTCAACCTATCGACCGAAGTAGTTGACAATCTCAGCCCTGATCTCAAGTCAACTCTGATTTCTTCAAAGGAGGCATCTTTGTCGATCAGGACATGAAGAAAAAGTCTACCAAAAACTTTCAACTTCGCTTGTGAATTTCCAAGCCACTATCACCAATTTGCTCCCCACTATCCCCTATTTACTTCCCCGCCCCTGCTAGTTTAGCACTCCCTTGCTAGCGGAATATACAACACTTAGGCGCTGTACCTCCGTAGTGGACTCGAGCCTCAGTGGTCATTAGGCTCGAGCCTGCTCGAGTCTCTTGGCGGAGGTGAAAATGTGGGAAGAGGTAGAGGAAACCAGTATTCGCAAGCGGCCAGTCCGGCCCGGCTTGAGCATAACTGGGCCGGCCTGGGCTTTTCCGAGACCCGACCTGGCCACACTCTCTGCCACAGTCCGGCTTCCCGTTCTCATCTGACCTGGCCTGGCCGGACTGCAGACATCTGAGCGATCCGATGTGACTGCTTTGATTCTGGGGAGCTCCTGGGTATTGTATAAATTGGTATCAATTGAGCGGTAAACAAGCATACGCGTCAACAACCTCTATGCCCACATGTGATATTTCTATCTTCACCGCCATTATATATATCATAAGAGTTGAATGACCTCTCTGTACACCACCTAATGTAGATCCCATGCACTATACATTCACATTCTTGTCTAAATCGTTGTATCCAACATTAAAATCACAATCGAGAAGGGGAAATAGTTTTCTATGCAGAATCATGGAGGTGAAGGTGACTAGGAGAAGGATATAGTGGAGGCAGGGCTATAATAACGAAAATAGTTAGGTATTTTACGGCTGTACTGATAATGATGTAGTAGGGAAAATAGCACAAGATCATAACCGAATAATATTTTCTCACATGTGATATACGCACACTTTAGTAATATATCGAGTGATACGAAATCTCTCATCATCTGCACTGCTCTCAGAGCTGGGAAACGTGGGGATATTCCTTTTTTTATTTCAATTTGCATATCCCGGAGCTGAACTGACTTCAGATATCTTCAGATATTGCATAGATATTAGTGAATATCTATATATAACTTCTGGTAACTTCAAGCATCTGCGAGCATCTTCAGATATCCGTAGGCATCTTCAGATATCTGGGGGCATCTTCAGATATCTGCAGATACTAGCGTGCATCTGAAGATGTCTACCACACACTAACAAAATATTTACTAAACCGATGCCAGATGCCGAAAGCCTGGCCTACAAAGCCCAGGTCGGCTTCACATTGACCTGGCCCGGCCGGACTGTATACCTGCCGGCTATCTGCGGGCCCGCCTGGCCGCCTGCGAGCACTGGAGGAAACCCGTGGTGAAGATGGGAACTACGTGCCAGACACAGAAGGAGATGGTGAACTTCCCAGGCATTGGGCTCTGGGATAGCGGGAAGGGCCTTTGACTAGTTGTATTTATTTTCAAGTTGCTATATACAATTTTTGAACTATAAGGGCAGTGTGTAGAGGTATCATGACGACTCTAGACTCGAGACTCTTGGCGGCTCGAGCCGGCTCGTGAACAACACTACCAGTGCCAAGTGACCATTTTCAGATCCTGAATTTTGATACACGGGGGTATTTATTTTCAACTGTTCTTTTTTTTTCATATTAACTGGGTATGACAATAATAGAACCTTGAGATTCGCTGGCTCTCATGAAAATAACTTGTCCATAGGCCCCATACATCTAGCGTTAACATAATCATATCCACGACCGTCGTAGCTTTTCGAGTAATTTCTTTAATGTCACGAAAATCACTATAAATAGTCTAATAACATTAGCTCAAGATACAGTAGGCTTAGTTTGGCAGATTAACGGAATATCGAAAACTATTAATCAGATCCAACATAGCCAAATAACTCAGGCTGTGCGCTGTCAGGAAGGCACTAAGTTATTTCTTCTTAAGGACTTTTTGTCTCTGGATCCCGATATCAGCAAGGTAACTGGGATAGCGAATCGCAACAGTACAGGTACTCGCACAAGTATAAGCACTGTAAATCGTGGTGCGGTGCTTGGCCAGGCCCCGATTGTGTTGGTTCTCAAAAGTTTCCAATTTAACCGACTTGGACAATATTACAAGTATTATACAAGTAGGGTACTCGAGTGAGGGATTTTCCCGCACACCCTACCGTGCGGCAAGCATAGTGGTTGCCTTGCCGGAGTACTCACGTGTACGAACTATGATAACTTGAGCGTCAACCGCAGGGGCACCCTTCGGATGTGGATCCTGACTATAAGGGCCTTACTGTCCCCACTGCTAGCCGGAGCGTGCGAGATATAGGGTCTCTAAAGCCTACAGCAAAGATTGGAATAATCCTCCCCCACTCAAATTTTCAAACTCCTTTCTTCATATTAAACTACAACGCCTCGGCACCATGTTCCCGCCCGGACGCGGTAACGACAACCTAAACGTAGGTGACAGATTTGCCATTAGCCTTTTCAGTACGAGCTTGGTTTTCACAGCAGAAGGAGAGAGGGTGTATCTCAACGAATATAAGGTGAAAAATGAAAAGCAAATGTGGGTTTGTCAGATGAACTCAGACTTTCAAATTGGCATGCGAAATGAGCATACCGGGTGTTTTATGGGCTGGAACCGTGACCAATTTCGATGTGCCGTACCCCATCACGAGCCTAGGGAGTGCTTTATTTTCACGCGGCTTAAGCTAGGCGGGTATTCAATAAGGTCCAACCCTCAAAGTGGCACTAAGCGCTGGCCAATTCAACGTGTCAACAGCAGCAGTCCAGACTTAAAGTTTGGGAATGAATGCACCCCATTCGGACTCCACCAGCTCCAAGATTCAGTATTTAGGCGGTTCGAGTGGGTGGTTCCTGGTCGTCTTGCAAGGTCATCTGCGCCATACTACGATGGCGAGGATTCTGATGAAGCTATCAACGAAACCTCAATCGGATTCCTAGTCAGCCATGGGATAAATAACATCATCAGTTTGAACTCTACGGAGATATCGTCGCGGGAGAAGGGTAGGCTTCGTGCTGCCGAAATCATGTATTCGCACATCAAGGCTCTGGAGTTTACCGCACCCACTCAGGAGCAGTTTGACCAAATCTGGAATGCCTACGAAAAAGCGGGGACCACAATCGTCTATTGTGGGTATGGGGATGGGAGGACTGGAATGGCTATTAGTGCGATTCAACTCTTCGAGGGTCGGATTCTGAGCGACCTTGATTACAGGGCAAATGGCGTACAGTGCCCCAGCCAGATAGAGGCGTTAGACGTATTGGGCGAGAGAATCCATAGGCGAGCATCCATTACTGACTGTATTTGTCATTGCTTAAGCTTACCGTTCAAATAGCGATGAGTCTAGCAGCGGCCCACCCGACACCCCCGGCGTTGAGCCACCACCATACTCGGAACCCGCAAAATCGAAATCATGAAATGTAGGAAGATGGGGTTACGCGAGGATCGAGGGGAGCTGGAGTATGGGTGAGATACGCCAGCGTGCTACGGCCGTCATAAGATGAGGGGATTTTGCATATCCCGCATGTGAGAAGGGTTGGAAGAAGGTAGCGGTGGATGTAGGGATATGGTGGAGGCGATGAAGCCTGTTGAGATTGGGGAGGAGAGCGGGGGGCAAGTGTGAGAAGCACACGGGGGTTGAAGGAGATCTTTGAGCAAAAGAGGGCGACAGAAGATGGAGTACGCTTTACCCTCACTTGAACTATTTCCATTCCTTTTGTTTTTCTCCTCCATCCTTACCTGTTTAAGGGAGCAATCGTGAGATTTAATTGCTACATTTTGAGATGAAAACCCAAATCACCCGCATTCCAACCATGTCCAAAGTCTCCCAGTCCAACAGTAGCTCTGATCTGGCACCGCACTCAAAATTCTCTCCCAGAATAAACCCGAATACCACCCCCTATAGACTAACAAAAAATATTCCAAACAGCCAATAACACCCATATCACACCTAGTTGGGACATGAGAGGGCAGCCCTCCCTTGTTTTAAGGGCCAAGGACAGTTAATTCTGTGGAGGAGATAGTCAGAGTATGCTAGCCACCGGTCGAGGTGAATTTGTAAAACCGGCCGGACGGGGGGTGTAATTGGAGACAGTGCAATACCAACCCCAATACATATCGCCGGGGGCTCCGGTTGATCAGAGTGGTTCGCGGATGTGGCCTCTGCTGGGACAGCATGATGGGCCAAGCACAAAGGAGCAGCAGACCCAATGCTTCCGGTATGCTTCCGGTATCCGCGTACTTTAGTGGGTATGGAAGCTGCTAGAAAAGGAGGAACAACTAGGAGAAAGTGGAAAGCGAGAGCCAAGTCATAAATATAAAAGCACTAGGGTATGGTGGCACAGGATGGGGATAAGAACGAGTAGTCTCAGTCGGAGGCCTTGAATCGGTGAAATTAGTATCACATGGCATGTAGTTCTCATCGCATGTAATAAATGTTTCGTTCCGCAATTAACGTATCACACGGGGAAACCGGACATTACCAGGAAACCGGACAACCAAGACATAAGTAAAAAATAAGAACTTGACCAATTCTCAACCAAATTGGACCAAACAAAAAGGTATTAATTGAGAAAGTGGAGAAGCAGTTTATACCCAAAAGATAAAAAAAGAAGATTCATCCATCCACCCGTTTACCTATTCTCTTGTCAGTTTACTAGCCACCCATTCGTTTGTCTATCCAGCCCTCAATCCACCTACCCAACTTGATTAGCAGTATCGCCGGTCCTTTTGTTGTTCACCGACTTGAACTTCAGTTTGTCGTATCACGTCTCGGACCGGCACGGTAGCATGCCGGCGGGAGTATGGAAGTCAGCCGGAGTATGGGAGGAAGGAGCGCGGAAGGAAATTGGAACGTCTTTGTTGGGTCTGAGTCTTTGTTTGTAAGTACGAAAGTAATTTCAGCGACGGAAGTGATATCGGCGACGGGGGTGGTAGTGGGGGTGGAAGTAGTACGGCAGTGGGAGAGTCCCCCGAGGTGCCTGTTTTGTTCATTTGTTCTTACCCGTCTTTTGATTGCTACCAGCACGTCTTGGTGTCGCAATTCCTGTTGGAAGTTGAACTTCTTGCTTGATTGATGCTCTACCGGGGGGCTATTGAGCACTACCTATGCCACAAAAGACCATGCTACAATCACCCACGACATGCGCTTCGCACAAGGGGGATCAACGACAATGATACTCCACAATGTAGTAGTGGGGGGAAAGGAAACGCGAGTGAGGAGATCAAGCAAGCAAGTTCTAAAATAGAGTTTCCGAGGAAACTCTGCTGTAGTCAACCATGTAATGAGCTCAACTAGTAATGAGCTCATACCACAAACATTCTGTCGTAGCCAATGACAAAACCGATGCATATCTGGAAGTCATATTACAACACTTGGAGTTTCGTTTCGGCCGAGTGATAGTTCGTGATTGCGACGACTGTGGTTTTACTCGCTCCAGAAAGTTATCGCTGTTTAAAACTTTTGACCGGAGACGACACTGGAGTCCCCGAGCAGGAACCAGACAACGACGGCAAAAGCAAGGAGACCAACCAAGAAACTAGTAACAGGCACGATGATCATTTGGTATGTCCACGTTACCCGTCTGATTATTGAAGTTGCATCTAACAAGCACCTGAATTACTGACGTTTTTTTGAAAAATTAGATACTGTATCACCGGCAATATAAAAGTATTGTTTGTTTGTATTAATTGGGTTTATAGTGAAAGCTAACCTGAAAGGATCTCTGTACGTTCAAAGGAGATGTTAGCACGACCCGCGGCGAAGCGAAGGTCGCAATTGAAAGGGAGTTTGGCTTGGTAAGTACCGTATACAAATCATGGCATTACATGGGGACCAGATAGGTGAGACTGAGAAAACTCCTGCTAATACTCGTGTCGCCGAGCCAAGAATGGGCACCTCTATTGGAATTGCGCACCAGAACACTTAAAAAGCATAGAGTTCGAGCTGCTTGACAGTACCGGTGGCAATACTTGATGGGAGTGATTGTACCACGATCAATCATTATGACAATGGCTCTTACGAAAACTTAGACGTGCTCCTTTCTTGCTGCAAAATTTCACTGACATGAACGAAATCGAGCCATGATGGCGCAGTGAGGAAACAAAGTAGTGTTTAATGCCTGTTAGAGTTATTTAGTCTCAGGGTTGAAAAATCTCACTACCAAGGTTAGTGATATTTATTACAGTACTCCCTCTATAGGGGTGGTGGATGCATCCCTTTAGAAAGCGGCAAAAACACCATACATTCCTCGGATCGGCAGGGGCTATTCCAAAAGAGGTGCCCATTCTTGGCTCCGAGCCACGAGTACATACCGAATTCAAAAAGAACCCTAATGAAATTGAGAAGAACCGTACGGAAATTGAGAAGTTGTGGACCCAGTTCCGCCCGCTCATTTGACAGGTCAGCTTGCTCCTATTTGGGTCTGGATCGGTTCGTATAACCTTCACCCACTACTACTGTTCTATTCAATCCTAATATACGTCAGATTATCGGATATATCATCAACGAGACATAAAACAGACATTCACCGAAAAAGTGTCTTCTGTCAAGGAAACCGATCTCCCAGCCCCCGTAACCCGTTGTGACCGCCCCCGCTGTTTTTGGGGCCGTACCCGCATTAATTTGATTCTCTAATCAGCGTCAGAGACTACCATCCCCTGCTGTGATCCCAAGCGGCCAGTCCAGACCGTGGTCCGGGCCACGGGTTGGCAGTCCGGTCAGTCCGGTCGAAATCCCTAGCGGCCGCCAAAACCCGGCGGCGCCCAGGCAACCGGCGGGTCAAGTCTTGGGACAACCCAGAACAGGGCTGTCAGATGCCCAGGAAAAACCCGTAGATGCTCAGGCAAAGTTCACAGATGCCCAGGCAAAGCCTGCAGATTCCCAGGCGAAGCCACCAGATGCCCAGGCCAGGCCGGGCTTTTATTTGGAAAAGCTACTTTGCCGCAGTCAGGCCAGGCTGTTCTTGAAAAAGACCGCTTCGGTTCACTGATCCCCTGCAATTCGTGACATGCCTTCCTTTCAACAAGGCAGGTACCAGGATAAAGAGAAATGGTAATTGCAGAACCTGAAACCCAAGAGAAAAATCCAAAGCAAGAACTAACAAAAGGTAAGCGCTTGCCGGATATCCCTGAATCATGGACAGTCTTAAAAATGTTCTCAAGGGGTTCAATTCTTTGCCCTTCTGTAGATGTCAACAAAGATAAACTTAGCTGCTGGTATTGAAAGCCCTCGGGATCAGGTCCTGGCCCGGCCCGACTCGAGTAAAGAAACCTTCAGCCCAGTCCAACCTAACTAGGGACGGTCTAAACAGCCCCTAGATATGTGTCATCGAAGCATCAGAGCCTATCCTCTAGGCTACTCCTACCGTCAGCCACACCCCCTGTGACCCACTACGCCAGAAACCGTGCCCCTGCCGAAGCAACAACCCACCGAACCCATTACCCGACGAGCCCGCCAGGACGGAGGACACCCTGAATTCCGATTTCCATACATTGGCAATCGGCTAGCAAACATTAGCAAGGACAAAAGCAAGCAGGCCAACTAAAACCACAGGTTTTGAACCACTTTTACCGCCACATCACGGGCATTTCAAAGGTTATGAAAACCTGGGGAATCATTGTTGGAAATCATGGACGCTGCTCGTCATGCTCATGACTTTGTTCTCTTGTCCGCTGGCATACCCGTCCGTCGGCATCTCTACCCGTCCGTCAATTGCCCGTATGCATATTCACCGTACGATACGAACATATACTTTGCCTCCGCCGGATTTGCGTATCCCCAAGCCATGCTCATGATATACCATGGGTTAGGGTTTATTTGCCCACCCGAGCTGGTAGGGGTCGACTATTGAAAATTGCACCGGGAAAGAACGGGGATTCCCCCGGCAAACCATAAGATTAAGGCTACCTAACAATCCGGGTAGCTGGCAAAACTCCCCGAAGGCATAGGAAACACTCTTGACCAAACCACCCCATTGAAGATTGAAGACAGTGCTGAGAAAGTTCCTAGTCCGACCGGCTAGAATTAATTCGGCTCTTGGATTGGATTATGGTCAGTTGAACTGAGTTAGGTGATGAGGGCTACCCACCCCCCATCTCCGGGGGTCATGAGTATCCGGTCATCGGTATGATAGCCACTGCCCCGTTACCTTACGGATCGTGCCACGTACCCAAGCGCTCTCGGCATTCCGGTGGGGGAGCCTGGCCCTCCTCGACACTACCGCGCTTTCTTATCATACGATACAGTTTCGATGCAAGGAGTAGTAGCAAGTCAAGACACTATAGGGGTAGAGGGCTTCTAGTCCTAGGGTTGTGCGAAGGGTATGGCAAAAGCTGGTCTTTGGAAACGTCCTCGTATATGGATCTGTATGAAATCGTTGACACGATCGTTAAGGTGGCAATGGTGCATTCCTAATCGCAATCCCGAGGCGGGGATAAAGATGGTTTGGGTTGTGCCTTATGATTTGGGGAAGCGGTTCCCTGAGAGATGAGGTTCGAGTAGCCTGATGAAGTCAACCCCGCCCGGGGCTGGTGTGGCTGGATCGGTGGGGATCGCTGGAACGGGTTCTTGGCGGAGGAGGAAACAAGGGGTAACTTAGGGCTTTGGTGGAGCGCCTGTGCGGCGAGTTCTTGTGTCGGCCATGGAGGGGAAATTTCATGCTACACAATGCCATGAAAAGTTGGGATGCTATTTTGAGATCTCTGAAGAAGCAATAAGCCGGTCCCCCTTTCTCGCTCCTTCTGGGGTGTTTTGTTTCCTCCGGCAAAAGGATTTCATCGTATGTTCCCGCAGCGCGAGAGGTGGTAGTTTCAAGGTATCGTCCATCTCATTTCGGGAGAGGAAAGCAGGCACAGTGCCACCGTGCTTAAATCATTGTTAGTCTGATCTACTCGTACTCGTACAAGTACTTGTGCTCGAGGTATGGTGGGACGGGGGAGATCGGGTGTGCCTCGTGCTATCCGATCTTTGGTAAGCGAGTTTGAATGACTTATCGTACAAGTATGGGATCTTCCAGCCTACCGGTGCCTCGGGTTACCCCGGCAGATGTTGGACAGCTTGCCAGTATCTAGAAATGGGCGCGAGGGGGCGGTCTCTCGGACAGAAGGATTTAAAAAGGTAGAAGGGACCTAGCCACACTCTGTAACAGGTGTGGAATGGAAGAATTGAGGATTTCGGGACCCTCGAGCGTATACGAGTATATATTGAGTGATCTGTGACGGAATGGTAATCATGGAGCGACAAATTCACTTGGGAAAATCCAGAAGGCGGCAGAGAGGCAAGGTTAGAGATGGAATACAGTGTTGCGAGGAGGGCTGTCAAGAGTAGGAGGAACAGGGCAGTGATAGACAGTAATTGGATTAGTGAGATTGATTGTTTTGTTCGAAGGTAAAAAAAAAGATGATCAATTCCATTGAGGTACCGGTATTGTTGGGAAGAAGTTTTCCGGGAAACAACAGCACAGCAGAGTGACTAAGCAGTATCCCTCCTGCGCTCAGCGAATTATATCCAACAGAATGCTTTGCCAGTATCACGCTGGCTTGCGTGTGGCGTCATCGGTTGCGGGAACTCCAGTAGGCAATAGACACGATTGGGGGGCAGGAGTGTTGAGCACAAGTGTCGGTAGACTATCTATAAATTTACTCGAGTATCATACTGATAGGCCTCCAGACAACCCCTAAAACCCATAGTGTCAAGCATTGTGGCGATGTTTGTTTGAAGGGTCTTCAGTTTTTGAGATTCATGAACTACTCGAGTAACAGGCCCAAGTTTAAAAAGTCAGGCAGGCCTACTGTGGAAGAAGAGGTGGAGCCCATGAGCCGATCGGGACAATGACGAGCTGGAACTTCTGCGGGATGTGGCTTGTTTGGCCATCTGATTTTGTTGAGCCGCACAGTTCTTTCAGGAGAAGTCTTGCACCACAACCAATTGGATGGAAGTTTGGGTAACCCACCAGCCACCCACCACCAGTTCATTCACCCGTTTTTTGAGATGACCCACGCATCTCTACAGTACTTCTATCTTCTATAGGCTTGGATGCGAGTATTGTATGAGTGCCATTCTGTAATCTGTATCATTCGTAGTGGCCTCACAATGCCCTCGTGAGGGACAAATTAAGCGGGAGATCTCGCGCTTTGTTTTTTTCGTCGGAGAAAAAGCCGAAATGTACAAGTACCCTTACCAGTACAAGTACGAGTACTGTACTCACACCTATGGTGCTCGAGCGATAGTCTATCATATGGGGAGATGGGGAACCTTCTTGTCGCTTCGAAGTGCTTTAGTGTGGAGGGAAACAGCCACTTTTCACGGCCAAAATGTCACTCCACCATGAACTTCAGGCCCGAGACATCTGAGGACAATACCGGTAGAGGTGTCTCGTTCGATTACATTCTCTTGTTTTACCCCTGATCATTTGCACCATGAAAAATTTGGACTTCGAGTCTGCTCGAGTGCTGTGTGCTTGTGCCAAAAGCGAAGAAATATCTCGGGCTGGGCAACGGTTAAAGGGTCAAAGCGGGAGGCGTTAGAATACCCCGAGTGACGTAAATTTAAGATAGCTCTGCTGAACTCGAGTACTGTACAGTCACACCTCGCTATCCTGGATGGCCAAATTTCACGGATTTCATCCGGGACAACGGGGTTTCCGGAACAGCGGGGTCTCATGAATAGCACAAAAAATGCAGAGAAAAAATAAAGCTCCCTTATTACCATTCTCTTGAGAGGCAAGCAGGGCAAAGGATGCTGTGCCCAGAGGTGGCACAGTTAATAATTATGCGAAGCTGTTAAGCTGGACTTTTTAATTGACTTTGTCATAGGCATTATCGAAATTGAACGAACAGAACATAGTCAACTTCCAGCTGAAGAACTCAATCCTCTGTCTGCAAAGTCCAGAGGTGTGTATACTAGAATCCCCCTACCCTTTCCAAGTATTCTCCTTCCTTTCCTTTTCTTTACTCCTAGATTTCTTTTGCCACACTCTTTCCTTCTAGCTTAGTTCAACTGTTAGTTCTGGTGGGATCCGGTTCAGCAGATCAACTTTCTAAGAGAACCAGGGGGGGCATGCATCTAGATATCATACAAATCCGAAACTTGCCTCTTTCAAGTTCAGCGGGATGAATTATATGAAAGTCCAAAGCTACCACAGATTTTGTCCGGTTCAGCGCGGTATCCGGTTCAGCGCGGTATCCGGTTCAGCGCGTTCCGGGATAGCGAGGTGCGACTGTACTTGTAGTTGAACCTCCACTCCAATTTGTCTCTTCCCGCTTCCTTCCCCCCTTTGAGACAAAAACTCACGAAGCCATAAGCAATAGTCCGTCGCCCTCGATCCTTTTTTACCCCCTCCCGTTTTCTTTTCCGTCCCCCGCCCTTCTCCATTCGTCTGCCAGTCCTCTCTTCTTTATCGTCTGTCAAACCCAATGGCCGGAGCTCGCTCCTCAATGGGCTCTCTTAGGAGACCCTTTCTTATTGGAACAACCGTGGCTGTTGGTGGCTTTGTTGCCTACAAGTCATACTCACCTCGCCCCGCTTCTCACACATACTCTGTCGGGAAAGATCGCGACACTGCTTCTACGGATGGGCGTCCGAACGTGATGGGTCGTGTTCCTGCGCCTCCAAAATTTCCGCCCCTACCAACCAGAGAGGAACAGATCAATCGCCTGCGAGCTGGGACAGAGGGAAGTGGGTACGATTTGTTGGTCATTGGAGGTGGTGCTACAGGTAGTGGAATTGCTCTGGATGCTGCTAGTCGTGGCCTCAAGGTGGCGATGGTGGAGCGCGACGATTTTTCTTCGGGGACAAGTAGTAAGAGTACAAAACTTGTTCATGGAGGTGTACGCTATCTTGAGAAAGCAGTGAAGGAATTGGATTACAGCCAGTATCAGCTTGTCAAAGAAGCGCTTAAGGAACGTGCAGTATTCTTGACCACAGCCCCTCATTTGAGTATGAGTTTGCCTATCATGTTACCTGTTTACGAATGGTGGAAGGCTCCATACTTCTGGGTTGGAACTAAAGTTTACGATTTCTTGGCTGGGAAAGAGAATTTGGAAAGTTCATACTTTTTGACTAGGGGTAAAGCCCTGGAGGCATTCCCTATGCTGAAAGGGAACGGACTGGCAGGTGCTTTGGTATACTACGGTTCGTGGTTCTCCCCTGTTCTGGCTGGTTGAAGACTCATTGGGATAGACGGGTCCCATAACGACTCCCGCATGAACGTATCCATTGCGCTTACAGCGGCGCTTTATGGTGCCACTATCGCCAATCACGTGGAGGTGAATGAATTGATAAAAGATCCAGCTACTGGTAAGGTTACTGGCGTTAAAGTCCGGGACCTTTTGCACC